AGGCGGCCGAGCAGGGCGGCGGCGACTCTCTCGGGTGAGCGCAGTGGGGATGCGGCCCCGGGGCGCGGCGGGAAGCGCGGGCGGCGTTCTGTGGACCCTGGAGCTCCAGGAGATGCGGGGGCCCTCCGTGTGCCGGGCGAAGTGGAGCGGGCGCAGCCGACGCTGGCCATCCTTGCCCGGACACCTCGGGCAGCCTTGGGGGAGAGGAGGGAGTGGGGCGCGGGGCCCGATCTTGGGGAGCCCTTCGCCCGCGATCCGGGCCAGGGGCCGCCAGGGGCCGGTCCCCGAATGGTACTCTTTTTCCCAGACCAACCCATGGCCCCTCAGCCACTCCCATCCCATCCCCCAGGTATCTCCAGCCCCAGGGCCGTTCTTCCCGGGGACTCCAGCCCTCTCCCCCCATCATCAGGCCCGCGACCCCCCACCCCCACCCCGCCCACCGTCCAGAGGCGCGGGCGAGCCTCCTCCCCGGCCCCCTGCGCACCTGGACCCTCTCCCGCCACCTGCCGCAGAGGTTCTGAGCAGCTCGGGCTGCTGTGCCTGGGACCCCCCGCACCCCCACCCCCGGCCTCCCTCCTGGAGCTCACAGCCCGAGTCTGGCCAGAGACGTTTGCTTCCCGAGCTTCGGGAACAATTTGACCCACTTCCCCAGACGCTGGTCTCAGGCCAGCCCTGCTTTTTGGATGGAGACACCTGTTTTGTCTCTCCCTTGAAAGGGCCGAGAACACCTCTGCCGGGAGTGTGCCCCGCAGGTCCTGTTCCCTCTCCAAGCTGCTCTGGCATGCTGGCCGGTGTCCCCAGAGACCAGGGCCAGGAGCTTCGGCATGGAAGGCCTTCCAAAGCCATTTTGCTCACCAGCCCTGAGACGCCAGAATCCCACAGCTACTCCTGAGAGAAGCCAGGATGAGGGGGGCCACCTTTTTGAACTCTGGGCCTGGCCTTCGTGTCCCCTGGCCTTGTTTTCTAGGGAACACAGGGCAGGGCCAGCGGGCTGGAGTTCAGAGCCTTGGTGCCTCCTGAAGCCCCAAAGACCTCCTTCGTTTCTCCATAAGAAACTTTCACTACCTCCTCTGGATGTGCCCAGACCCTTCTCACAGCCTTGAGTTCCTACCGCTGGGAACTCAAGACAGGCAGGGCTAGAATCTATGATGCCGCCAAGAGGAGAGCGGTTCCCGACCAGGTCTGGACTTGGGGGCCAGGGGGTCTTAGGATTGATGGGTCTGTTGGCTTTCACATAGCGCTGAGTGAGGCTCCAGGGCTTCTTCCCCGTGAAGAGAGGAGGCTGTTTTTTTCCTACGTGTTTCTGACTGTCTTGTGTTGCTATGGTGACAGTTTTTGCCTCTTCCTCCCTCTGACTCTTCTGGGAGCTGGATTTTATTGGTCTGTTGTCCTGTCTTTTATGGCTCTAATTTCTCCTTTCTACTTGCTCTGAAATAAACAGTCATAAATATGGGCGCTAGGCCCAGCTAGGGGCTGGTAGAACTTCACCTTCAGCGGATCCATGGCTCCAGAGAGGGCAGAGAAAGGGAGTGAGGTGGGGTCCAACCTACCCACACTGCCTCCTGCTCTCAGCTCTGGGGAGGGAGGTAGCAGCACCCCAGGCTGGGGAGTACAGTAGGTAGCACACTGTCTGGGCACTAATAATAGACTCCGAAAGCTTGCAGTAGCTCCCTGATGTACCTTCTTCACCTTTAGGAAAGTGCTGTAGGGGAGGGTGGCCTCCTCTTTTCAGATGAAAGAGCTAAGCTGTATCAAGTAAGCTTGTATCCCTGAGGTCACACAGCTGTTAGCTCACAGTGAGCCCAGAGATTCTGTTGAATCAGAAGACAGTTATAGAGTCCCTGGCTTCCACTCTGCTGGGCTCCCTTGTCCTGCTCCTCAGGAAGCTCCTTGGAAAGTTGTGTCTAGTTCCTCCACTCCTCTGGGGAGCTGCTGCACCCCTGTGAGGGCTAGCTGCCAGGGAGCTGCCTGTGGTGTCTTTTGGACCCCCTTGACCCCAAGTGTTGGGGGACTCAAGTTGAGAGCCGAGCAAAGCCACTGGTGACTTCCTGTTTTTACCCTGTACTGAAGAATTCGGTTTGCTTGTGCTCCCAGGGCCTTCATGCAACCGGATGAGTCAGGGACACAGAGCCCTGGGCGAGGAGTTCAGAGCCGGCTCAAGGGCCATAGGGTCACCCACTATCCAGTGTCAATGACAACCTCCAGTGCAGTTGCTCCCTCCTTTCCTGGTGATTTTTCTTTTTGTTTCCATTGCATTCTCCCTGCCACCCCCTTTGCATTGCTGTGCTGTAGTCTTGTTAATCCCAAACTGGAATGTATTTAGACAGCATGAAATCACAAAGGGGTCAGATGACAACCTTGTTCACTCCTGTGAACCTACATTTCCCACCTTTAAAATGGACTTGACAACTTCTGTCCCACTGGCTTCATTTGCTTTTATTAAGATGGCTCACACATGTAATCCTAGCTACTCAGGAGGCTGAGATCAGAGTCCCCGTTTGAAGTCAGCCCAAACAGACAAATCACAGAGATTCTTATCTCCAACTAACTGGCAAAAAGCTAGAAGTGGTGATGTGGCTCAAATAACTCAAGCACTAGCCTTGAGTGTGAAAAGCTGAGAAAGCCAAGGCCCTGAATTCCAGCTCTCTCTCTCTCTGTCTCTCTCTTTCTCTCTCTCTCTGTCTCTCTCACTCTTACACACACACACACACACACACACACACACACACACACACACGGAATGGAATAGCCTACAAAGAGTGTATTGAATGGTTGAAAGTCTGAAAGACCCTTAATGTCCTCATCCAGTTGGGAGATGTCATAGTTAAAGAAACCCCTGAATGATTGAGAACTATTTCAGGATAATTAGTCCCTAACCTCTCAGGATTCAAGACATTACCTAAGTGCTGTCATGCAGCCTTTATGAGAAGACCACATCTTCACTTGTGAACCTTGCGTTTATGGAGATCCTACTTTGTGGGAAACTGAGGGTTAAAACATGAACACTAGTTCTGTCTCTCCTTCCCCCACCTCCCCGCCAAATGTACTGGGATGGGGATGGGGAGACACACCTGGAATGAGATCCAGAGGACTGCTATGGTCTGGAGAAGGGTGATGTGAGATGCAGAGATGGCTACCAGGCCAAGCCACTCCTTAGGTTGTGCATCAGGGCTGAAGTACAGCTGTCCTATTGCTACCCATTTGGAAATTGTCAAAGCAATGGGCTGTTGATAGAGAATCCCTCACTCAGTTCTGGTAAGCAGAACAAGAGAGTGGGCCATGGCAGGGTGCTGGTCCTGCCTGCCCCCTTTTGTGAATGTTGACTCTTCCACTCATCTTAGCCTCTCTGGGTTCCCACTTCATCTGGCTTGAAACCCTTCCTCTGCAGCTGCATGAATTGCTCTGGAAAGGCATCTTGGTAACTGTGAAGAAAGAGGGCTTTCGATTCCAATGTGAGTTCAAACTCTACTACTGCTGTGTCCTCGCTGTGGGATCCTAAAGTCATAGCTAACCTCTTTCTAGTTGCAATTCTTCTATCTGTAAAATTGCAGTAATTATACTTCCTTCTAAGAATTAAATGATCTTCTGTATTTATAGAGTTTGGCATGATGCCTATTTCACAGTAGACTTACTGTTATTTAGTTATATTGATTAGGGGAAAAAAAAGACTTTTCAGTTACTGGGCCTCTGAGTCCTCTTAGAACTATTGTGGTAGACAACTCCTTAGGTTGATTTCGGTCTTTGGAGATCCATTCATTTTCTGAGAACGGTAATTGCTCATGCTCAGGATCCTGGCACTGTATGTTAATCATCCTGTTATCTCTCTCCAGATAAGCTGTGTACAACACTTCCATGACAGTGCTCCAAGGCCTACCATTCTTGTTAGCTCAGAGAGGAACCCACTTGAAATGGCAGCACAACTCAGAATTTCAGGACCATGTTGTGTTTATGACAACTTTAAAACGAATGCTTCATGCTTCCCCTCCCCTTTCGGTGTATATTTAGCTCCTTCCTATTTTATTATATATTTATTTATTTTATTATTTACTTTGTTTTGCCAGCATTAGGGTTTGAATTCAGAGCCTGGGAGCTATCCTTTAGCTTTTTCATTCAAGGCTGGCAATCTACCACTTGAGCCATAGCTCCGCTTTTGTCTTTTTTGTCTGACTCATTGGAGATAAGAGTCTCATTGATTTCCCTGCCCAGACTGACTCCAAACCAGGCCACTCAGACCTCAGCCTCCTGAGTAGCTAGGGATAGAGACATGAGCCACTGATGTCAGCATTACTTATTTATTTGTTTTCAGCTGGTATAAGTAGGTAGGCATATACATTTTCCTTAATCAATACTGTTAGCATTACTGTCCCCAGTTTACAGCTAAGAAAACAGAAAAAAATAAACAAAAGGTATATTTACTTGCAAAGTATCTGGCAGCTGATAAATGGCAGGACCTGAATACAGAACTAGGTCCTGCTTGCTCTTTTTACTGTAATGCACCAGTCTTGTCATTTCCTTGGCTGGTATGTCAGTGACCTAAAATAATTGTGTTTGGAGAATGAAAGCGGATTTTAATAGGGGTGGAACTGGTCAGTGCTGTAACTCAGACGCATAGTAAATATTTAGAGACTTTATTAGGGTTTTGCTCTCAGCACCGCATTAACAAGGCTTTTGGCAGCTGGCTGAGGATTTATTTTCGTAAGGCATGAGTGGGAGAGGAGTTTGACATGTCTGAGAAAAGAGAAAACACTTGATGACACTAGAAGTAGTTCCTTAGCACAGGAATGAATTACTGGTTTGTCATTGAATCACCCTGAGCTTTTGGACAGGTCAAGGTTTTATAATTGAACTTACGAATGGAAAGCACAACAGATGCTTTCCTGGGCTATAAGGACAAGAAACCCAGTAAGTTAGACACATGAATGGATGGCTCCTCAGTGACATAGATGCACTCTGTCACTGTATCTGCCATTTAGGAAAAAAGAAGTATTGAAAAACAATTATATAATTTCCCCCCTTGCCTTCCCTGGGTAATAC